CCCAGCACGGATGTGTCTCGAACTGCTTAGCTGGGCCTTGGAAATGGATATGTAAGAGAAATACTGGTATGGCAATGGTGGTTTCGATAATGTGTATATATCATATATATTCATATATAAATTGTGGTTGGTGGTTTGGAACATAAATTTTATCTTTCTATATATTGGGAATGTCATCATCCCAAGTGACTCCATCATTTTTTTAGAGGGGTTGGTTGAAATCACCAATCAGTAAACCAACAGTTTCAGGGGTTTGAATTCAATCAAGAATGGACCTTGACCGGATATTTACTGGAAAACACCTTGGATGGTTTAGTACGTGAACCATCGTGAATCTTTTGGTATACATGTTGGTACTGACCGTTAAACCTCAAAAATCAGGGTATACTAGTATAGTATCCATGTATTAGTAGAATAGTATGGCAATGGTGGTTTCGATAATGTGTATATATCATATATAAATTGTGGTTGGTGGTTTACAAAATTTTAATTTTCCCATCACATTGGGAATGTCATCATCCCAACTGACGAACTCCATCATATTTTTCAGAGGGGTAGGCTCAACCACCAACCAGGTTATTAACCATCATCAACCATATAATAACCATATATTGACCATTATTAACAGTATATTAACCATATTTTTTCAGAGGGGTAGATATACCACCAGTAAATTGTTCATATCATGCGACCAAAGGTCTTTCTCACCCTGAAACAGGTCATGAAGTCCGTCAGTCCGTCATGAAATCCGTGGTGATTTGGGGTTGTTTTCTGAATGGAAAATATAACCTACGTGGTATATATATCTGGGTAAATTATAACGACCTCACTACGACCTCACTGGAAATCATAGTTAGCAAGGGAAATCATCCCCACATGGCCTTAACTCGGGTTAGTGAATTATTATAATTTACCCAGATATATATACCATCTGGTTACGACTAACATAGCCATGGAAAATCCCTAAAATCAATGGAGCTTTTAATGCCTGGGACAATCATCTATTTCTATGGACCATCTATACCATGGCTATGTTAGTCATAACCAGAGGGTATATCTCACAAGAGATGACAGCAAATCCACAGTTGATAGGTCTACACTTGACACCGAATTGAGAGGTGAAACCAACAAACCACCAAGATGTTCGCAGGTAGACAAGTTGGTTCGCGGCAAGTACCAAGACAACTTGGTGACTCGGCAGTCGGGTTGGTGGAGGGTGTGAACAACTGGTCAGTAGTTTCAAAACATCAAAGTTGGGGTAGGGTTTACCTGTCGATCTTTTTGTAAGGTTGCTTTACAGAAAGCCAAAAAGATATATTTTTAGTTTTGCCCAAGAATGACAGTCATTGGCCCAGTGGTTTGCCCAAGGGTTGTTGGATGATCACCGCGTTTGACCTTTTTTTTGGAAGGGAAGTATCAGGGAAGGGTGAAACCTCGGGAAGCTTCAGAAGATTTCGGCATTCTAGCTTAAATGATCATCAAGTCCATGAAGTCACCATTGATCGTGCTAAATTATAATTTATAACCATTGAAACCATGGCAATTGATCGCAGTTTCTATCTATCTTGTAGTAGGTAAGATTAATATTTTCCGGGAAAGCTGTTGTTTTGTTCACCTTGCTGAAATCATGTTTCTATTGGGTGTGTGTGTGTGAAAATGATAGAAAACAATTTAAATACACTTGTCCTATTCAAGCATGGTATACTCCATTTTCAGGTCCATACCCGACAAAGATATCAAGTATTCCATGGAATATTCTCATATTGTCATTCTATCTCCATGTCTTCAAGTATTCCACGGAAGATCCCCTAATTTATTCCCATTCATGTATATGCATATAACTAACAGAAAGAAAACCCATCCAAAACATATTTTTTCATGATGGTTTTTCCCATGTATCTTCAACATCTCTCCAAAGGATTGTTCAATATATATATATATATATACAATAATAATAATAATATGTATAAAATCTTGCCCATTCATCTTAGGAAAACTGACGAAATAGCCATTTGATCAGGAGATGCTTCAGTGGATCAAGACCTACTTCGATCGCAGCTTCCAAGGCCGGCGGAATCCGGGTCCGTTCCTGGGTGTAGTGCCTGGGACCTTCCCATCAAAAATGCACCTTTAAGGTGAACCAAAAATGAAGCAAACAGGAAGCAAGAAATTAATCCACATGGATCAAGATGAATCAAAATAGATAAATAGAATTTTTAATAAATCAAAATGTTTTTTGTTGACCAAGACACATGGTGATTTTGGCCAAAAAAAAGGAGAATGTTGCGAGAGAAGTGAGTGATTTAACCCAACTTAAACATGATGGTGATTTCCAAAGAACAAGAATGGATCGATCAGATATCACAAATCAAGATGATATTCACCAACAATGATGGGATACCAAAACCACTCATTTACATATATTTACATCTAAGACATATGGTCAGAAACAAGTGTTCCATTTTGAAGCTGTGAATTGACGAAATAACAACAAGAATAATTAATAACATACACACATACCAGGCCGAGAGTTTCTGCGATACAACAAAGAAGGCAATCTGCATCAATCTGCACTGCTTTCCTAGGATTTTTTAGGCAACTACTGCATGAATGGAAAGAAATCTATGAACGGACATCCATTGTGATTTTCCATTGCAAAGCGGGATTTTTTCTGAAGTCGACCGGCCAGTTGCACCGCAGCGTTTGACGTGAGAAACCGGGCAAAAGTTGAAGAGGAGGTCGTTTCAGAGATTTCAAAGGTAGCATGCCTAGGTGGTTTCCTTTCTTCGAAAAGATAGGATTTGGGGATACGCTATTTTCAGACAAAGCCACATGTCCCTCAGTTTCTCAGAATTAAGGGCAATCTTGCTTTCATTCCTGAAATTTCAAGACAAGGCCATGTCAAATTGCCTAACTTTTCTGGAAGGCATTTCACCTTGCCAAGCGGATCATGAGACAGAAACCATGATGGACATTTGCTGACAGCAGCCCCAATGACGTCAGATGTTTGTGAAAACATGTTGAACACAGATTTTCTCAGCTAATTAACCCTTAAACTTCTTGCTTTTAAAGCCGCCTTTTGATCACTTTTTGAGGTCCGTTCACAGTTTTGGCCGCCGCCGGAGCTGTGAACGTGATCCAGTCCCCATTTTTTTTTGCGGGGCCCTTTGCTTGGGGATTCCCCAGGAACTGTGACAAAGCCAAATAACTATATAGTCGACTCAGTCTCGTTCTAACATATTCTAACTTCAATTTTGTTTCATTTTCTTGGGCATTTTTTCCGGAGAGCGTCTGAGCGCAGGGTTCTTCCAATAGTGGGGGTCTGTCTCTCATCTTCACATCTTCTCATCTTCACATCTTCTCATCACCTTCACACATTCACATCTTCTCATCTTCACATCTTCTCATCTTCACATCTTCTCATCTTCACATCTTCACATCTTCTAATCTTCACATCTGCTCATCTTCACATCTTCACATCTTCACATCTTCTCATCCTCACATCTTCAAATCTTCACATCCTCACACCTTCACATCTTCTCCTCTTGCCTTCTTGCCCTCTTGCCCTCTTGCCCTCACATCTTCACATCTTCTCCTCTTGCCCTCTTGCCCTCTCCTTCTTTTCTATTTCTCTTCTGAAGGCGGGGGCAGGGGCAGTGCCAACGAGACGGCACGAAACGCAACCCTTTCGCACGAAACGAGGTTCGATCGCCAAAAACTGAGGTAAAATTGCGATTTCAACTTGTCCCACGCAACCCTTTCGCACGAAATGAAGTTCGATCGCCAAAAACTGAAGTAAAATTGTGATTCCAACTTGTCCGACGCAACCCTTTCGCACGAAATGAGGTTCGATCGCCAAAAGCTGAGGTAAAATTGCGATTTGCAAGTCGTCCCGCGCACCCTTTCGCACGAAATGAGGTTCGATCGTCAAAAACTGAGGTAAAATTGCAATTTCAACTTGTCCCGCGCGACCCTTTCGCACGAAACGAGGTTCGATCGCCAAAAACTGAGGTAAAATTGCGGTTTCTATGTTATCCGGCGAAGTATGGAAAAGCTGTATGTAAACGCATCTGTGTGTAAAAGCGTCTATGTGTAAAAGCTTCTGTGTGTACAAGCGTTTGTGTGTAAAAGCAGCTCCTGTGTGTAAAAGGGTCTGTGTGTAAAAGTGTCTGTGTGTAAAAGTCTCTGTGTGTAAAAGCGTCTGTGTGTAAAAGCTTGTGTGTAAAAGTCTCTGTGTGTAAAAGCGTCTGTGTGTAAAAGCTTCTGTGTGTAAAAGCTTTTGTGTGTAAAAGCGTCTGCGTGTAAACGCTTCTGTGTGTAAAAGCTTCTGTGTGTAAAAGCTTTTGTGTGTAAAAGCAACTGCGTGTAAACGCTTCTGTGTGTAAAAGCTCCTGTGTGTAAAAGGGTCTGTGTTAAAAGTGTCTGTGTGTAAAAGCGTCTGTGTGTAAAAGTGTCTGTGGGTAAAAGCTTTGTGTGTAAAAGCGTCTGTGTAAAAGCAACTGTGTGTAAAAGCGTCTGTGTGTAAAACTGTCTGTATGTAAAAGCGCCTGTGTGTAAAAGTGTCTGTGTTTAAAAGTGCCTTGTGTGTAAAAGCGTCTGTGTGTAAAAGTGTCTGTGTGTAAAAGCGCCTGTCTGTAAAAGCTTCTCTGTGTAAGGGGTTCTCTGTGTAAAAGCTTGCTCTGTGCAAAAGCTTCTGTGTGTAAAAGTGTTTGCGATGCAAACTATTGTCTTGTACTTATGCTATATTGTCTTGATACTCCTCTTTTCGACTGCGTATAACACATCTTTAATATATTGTTTTGTAATATGGTGTCTCCATACTAACAAGAGAAGACCCTGCTCCTCTACGCTCTCGGGCCATCCGTCGTCTAGTTTTTTCGACTCATTGAGATTTCCATGAGATTTCCATATTCTGTATACCACTAATGATATCACTATACCTTTTGGTTGCTGGGTAAATCCCATCCGCAGGGTCCATGGGCCCCTTATTTTCGTACGCCATGGGGCCTCAGAAGACCTTCCTGATCTTCGCCTCAGGTGCCTGAGTACGTCACCATAATTAGGGGATCCATACTATATGAACCATTAAAAATAGCCTGGTTGGTGGGTTAATCTGTTGGGACCTATGCTCATTCACTGAACATCATGATAACCCCTAGTTGCCATTTCGTGGGAAACCTGACATTTCAGGTGAAATGGTAATTCAGCCGGATGCTTCAGTACAGTATATTTCTTTAAAATGCTTCGTAGAGTTTGGTTTTCCTGATGGAAAACAATCCCTTTTCGCTTGCCCGACCAGTCACTCAACAAGTCACTCCAGTCCAAGCCTTCGCTGGGATCCAACTAGAAACTGAAAATCGTTGAGCCTGTCCCAACAGCCTGGTAATGTAACAGTTCGCGAAAAAAATTGCGAACTGGAAGGGGGCAGCATAAAAAAAGTATAGCTAAAAATATAGATCAAATATGATCAAATCATCCAATCTATGGGCCACTCACCATAAATGCCATAGCTATGTTAACCGGGGGCCGCCAATGATCTACCGCCGTAGCGGTCGCGACATGGGCAGGTTTGCTCTTCATCATACTGATCCTGGTGGCCATTGGCGTCTCAGGCTCCTTAGAGGCGGACTTCCATGGCTGGACCGTCTGTTGGTTCTCCGGACCCTTCTATCAGATGCTGGGCGAATGTCAATGGGGGGATAGATATGGATAGATAGCTTTTAAAAAAAATGGTGATGGAAGAGGGAAAATGATGGGATTAAGATGGAATAACATCCAAATTTGGGTCTAGCATATTTTTTAGACGAAGCACAATGGTGCTAAAGTTTGGTTCAGTTGGGCGAGTTTTGGAGGATTACTGATGGAGTTTGAGGGGATATCCGATGGCATTTTTTTCAAATCAGCCTGGTGTGTTTTTTCTTCTAGTTTTTGTTCATGTTGATTCAGGATGGTTCGAACATTGCAAGTATTCTGCGGTTTTTGGCCATGATTTTGCCCTGTTCTTCTGGCATCAACTCTGGCAAATCCCAGGATTTCCAACTTCCTGTTCTTCTACGCAACTTGGAGCGCGGTTGTGAAGGGTGAAGGACTTGAAGTTGTGGGAGCTTTACCAGCAACTGCCATCAAGATCCGTCAACCAATTTCTCTTTAATAATAAAAAACAGCCCCACTTTGAATGGTCCCAAACATGTGTTTTTTTTTTCAGTGGTTAAAACAATGCCATAAACATATATAAACCATCCCCCAGTCATCAGCATTTTTATAGGTGCTAGTTTTACCATTCCCAGTCATAGATGGTGTCACAGCTCGATCAGATCCTAAGATCCTGAGATCCAACTCAGCCGAAACGTTCGGAGCTATCGAGGATGAATATTGGAGGATATGAATCACGACATAATAAGGCCATGATGCAGATAAGTCTATAGATTATTATATTATGTCATGTTATATTATATTGTATTATGTTATATTATATTATACTAAATCTTCTGGGCACCCTCTTGCAATTGAAGAGTTTGCGAACTGGAAAATCACTATTAATTATTAATTATTATTCATCGGTAAAAAAAATCGAAGCAAATTGGCCATGTTCCATTCCATCGCTATATTAAGTCACCAAAGGGTAGGCATTAGGTCAGAGGCAGGTCATGCCAGATCTCTATGACCATGGGAATATGTTTTCGAAGATATTGCTTGTGAATGGGCCCTGGAGTAATTGTTGTGACATATACATCACCAACCCTATGGGGTATGCGGTATGGGTCAAAGTTGATGAGGTGCCCAGAAAAAGGCTAATTCAATCACATGATCAGAATTTGTGGTTGGCCGTTTCTTAAATTTTTCATCCTATACAGTATGTGTTATTTTTCTTCTCGCATATAGCAAATCATAGCAAAACAATGCAAAAGATAAGTGGGTATTTCATGTTGGTTAAACCATAATATAATATAATAGAATATATAATACAATATAATATAATACAATATAATATAATATAATATAATATAATACATAATATAATATAATATATAATATATAATATATAATATAATATAAAAAAAAAAATATAATATATTATAATATGGTATAATATATTATAATATGATTTGATATGATACAATATGATATAACATAATATCTATATGTCCATTTCAGTGAAATCTGTATCTTATCGACTAACGGGCAGGAGTCAACCACCAGACCATATCCATTTATAATTTAGAATATTGTCCAAATCACACATTATATACATATATATATACATATACATATATATATACATACATATATATATAATATATATTTACATATACAAATACATATACATATACATATACATATATATATATGTATACATACATATATATATAATATATATATATATTTACATATACATATACATATACATATATATATATGTATACATACATATATATATGTATACATACATATATATATATATACATATATATATGCAATTATTTGCATATGATGTGCTGTGTAAAAATCTGTTTGAATTCTGGCCCCTTTGGGCGCCGTAATAATTTTTTTGAGGCCGGGATCTTGCACGACGTGGCCTTCATCCGCAGCGCTGTGGTCGTGGCGAATCTCTTCATCGCGGCCTTTCTGCTCTTCGGCACCCCGACGTGGCCAGCACTGTGGAAGTCGCAGCTCGCGTGCTTCCGGGTGGCGCCCTGGCGGTGAGATTGGTGGTGAAAAGGGCTTGGGAAAAGTTGGGAGAAATCTTGGTTTCAGAATTTCTGTGATGAAATTGATGAGAATGCAGTAAAAGATGTGATTTTGCTGTGTTTTTTTTGAGTTTGCTGTGGTGGTTTTGCTGAAACTGGCGAACCAATCGGATTTCCAGATTTCCCGCTTTGACTTGGATTGGTTTGTCTACCCAGGGATGGATATGCATAACTGGTTGGTGGTTTGGAACATGGCTTTTAGTTTTCCGTATATTGAGAATGATAACCCCAACTGACTAATATTTTTCAGAGGGGTTGAAACCACCAACCAGATAATGATGGATAGACGACTTGTGTTGGTGACGACACTGTAGATGAAAAAGGGCCCAAAAGAGTGTTGTGTTCCAGTTTGTTTTGTCTGATGACGCCTTAAGAGTCACTCCAAGGGTGGTGGTTTGAAACACCTCCCATTTAAGTGATATTTAGATAGCTAAGTAGGTGGAAATAACTCGGTGAATTCTAAGGTTTATAGTAGATATATCCATAGTTAACAGGTTTATAAACAAACACAAATAACTGGGGTTGGGGACCTCCACTTGTATACATTTAGTAATTTAGTATACCAAACAATTTACAGGAAAGAAAACGACTCAGCTTAATGCCAAAGATCTTTGTTTAGGGATGCTTCTGGGTAGACCTCGGTGGTGGTAGACCCTGGTCAGTCTCAAGACGAGTTTCTACCTCAGAATTCTCAAGTTTGATATTACCCTCTGGTTCTGACAAACATAGCCATGGTATAGATGGCCCATGGAAATAGATGGTTTACCTATTAAACATGGGTGGATCTTTCCATGGCTATGTTAGTCATAACCAGATGGTACTTATTCTATCTTGGCATAGATTCTTGCATGATGCTATTCAAAAAATGCCACACACATTTGAGTAACAGTTGACTAATTTTAGTGGTGATAACAAGCTGGTGCCTCTCAATTTGTTGGTTTATAACTTCCATGAACTGGATCGTTATGTACCATCAGTTATTAATAAAATGTCATCAATGACGCCATCAGTTATGTCCCTTAACCTAACGTGTCAGGATTCGGGCCCCCCAGCCACCGAGGACACGGTGATGTGGATGGTGCTTTGCGTCTTTGTGAATGCGGTGCCCATGTTCAGACAGCTGAAGTTCGATGACTCCAAGGCACGATTGGGGATTTCTTGGGGGGATCCAACTGAGATTTCTTGGGATTTCTTGGGGAAAATCACGTGTTCGATGTCCTAAAATCACCTAAGATCCCTACGACTTGGATACCATCTGGTTATGACTAACATATGGAAAATCCCCAAAATAAATGGAGGTTGGTGTCGCTGGGAAAATCATCTATTTCTATGGGCCATTTTGCATGGCTATGTTAAATAACCAGGGGGTAACTAAGAAAAAGGCTTCCCCACAAACCCTCCAAAAGGTTGATGTTGATAAATCATGTGCCGGGCCCCAAAGGGTGTTTTCCTCGAACAATATTGGATGGCAAGTGAATGTCAGTTCTCTGGCTTAGAAACGCCCATACGTTGGAGTTGTGTACTTGGGGTATGAGATGAGTAAGCAACACACATGCTTGAGAGTACATGGATGTACAATATGTACGGTACCTAAGAAGATTAAATAATTGACCCAGTATTCATGGTGTTTGTCCGTGTATACAGTGTGACATACCCGCTATTTTCAGAGATCACCCATAGATATTGGTTATGGTTAGAACAAAATCAGTTTATTCAATTTTATTCACACATCTCTACGACGTACATCCACTAGTAATCCCATTACATCCACATCATGGGTCTAACTAGATTGGAACATTACTGTCCACTAAAAAACATGATTTTCAGGGTCGAAGTGTTCATTTATATACTGGAGGATAAATAAACGAACATGTATCATTATTCCCATTAACTATTGCATGATTATTCATGTTCGAACTCTTCCAATATCATTAAATCCCCTAAAGTAACTTATTCCCATTGATTAGTTGACATTAAAAAAAAGAAACAAAAAACATTAGTAGCATTGATTCGTTAACTACAGGATTTAAAACAACATGAAATAACTACAGTGCTACAGGGGATTATATTCCCATGGATCATTTTTGGTACAGCGAATCGTTCGTTCCCACGAATCATTCCCCTGATCGACCTGTTGGGAGGTAAGATTCTATGCATCCATATTATCCAATGGTTCATCCATTTTGATCATTACTAGGGCAATCTTAGATGGAGACAAACTCATCATTTAGTCTTTTGGTATCAATGGCAATATCTACTAACCAGCAAAGAATTTATTTTTTGCAGGGTATCTAAGATTGGCAATGATTATTATATGAGTATTGTTGGCTATTCCAAGAATCAACGTCAATGGGTGATTCCACCATATTCCACCATTTTATGACTATTGACGAGAATTGTGATTCTATGATTATATACTATATATTACTATCAACATCTACGAACTCCAATTAACTCCATTATGATCTATTATTGTTGACTATGTTTTCCATCATTATCATCCATTATCATATAATATGAATATTGTTGGCTATTTCCTCCACGAATCAACCATCCTCCATCATTCCTAATTGGTTGGTGGTTTGGAACATAAATTTTATTTTTCCCATCATATTGGGAATAATCATCATCCCAACTGACTTTAAGTCCATCATTTTTCAGAGGGGTAGGCGAAAACCATGGCGAAAAACCACCAACTAGGTTATGAACCATCATTAACCATATAATAACCATATATTAACCATTATTAACAGTATATTAACCACATTTTTCAGAAAAGGTCACCTTTTCCGTGGACAAGAGCCTGGAGCCTTTTGCGGAAGCCGTTTGGCGCGAGTGGTGGCGCCGCTCGGGCATTCCGCGCCAGGACTTCAAGGACGTGGCGACCACTGGGCCCGGGAGACGGGACGGGACCATGGGAAAAACCATGGAAAAAAACGATCATTTCCTCATAGGAGAATTGATAAAATGATCGATTTGCTGGTTTTTCACATCTATGTTGGTTTACCGGAGATTATCTGAAGTATAATTTACATGCTTGACAGGTCTCAATGTTGAAAAAACATGGGCAATTGACCATTAAAATCCAATCTCTTGTTAACATTGTCAACCCATATTAAAGAACAGCTTGATTTTCCACAAATTTTCAGGGCACTGGGCCGTGAGAGGGCCCGGTTCACTTTAGTAGGTTTTTTCCCGGGGCTCACAATTGCAGCGAACTTTTCCAGAGCTGATCCTGGAGCCAAGAGAAGAAAGAATTATCTTGCTCTTTCTCTGTCTCTTTAAATCTGTTTTTCTTGCTCTTCTGATTCTCTTCCTCTCTCGCGTTCTCTTTCTCTTCCTCTCTTTCTCTTGCTCTTTCTCTTCCCTTTCTCTTTTTACACCCTTCGTAAATAAACAACTTTAGGTGCAAAGGGTAACACAATCAACATGCTGAACCCCACTCACTGCAATTGTCGGGTTAACCTTTTGACAGGTGCCGCTCATAACCAATATGACAGGCTGTCATTGTTCAGGTGAATCTGCTGTGTGAAGCTAGGCTAGACCCAAAGTGCTGACAAGTTTGATCAAAGCAACAACTGAAGGCAACGATCTGCGGTATGGCCTCAAATTATATTTAATAAGCCAAATCTCGAAGAAAGAATCCTTTACCTGCTGCTTGTTGTGGTGACGCACACCACAAAAACCTGCCTTTAATGCCATGACCCGACGGTCAAGCATAAGAGGGTGATCTTTTGGCGACGCCGCTGCCCACGCTCTGTTCTTGGTCTTATCGCTGACACCGAGAAGAGTAGTGATGTACGTGCCATCTTGTGTTGCCAGAAACTTGCTTCCAAGCTCTTCATGTGTGTGTGTGTGAAGTCGTTTGGTTCACACCTGGATGCATTATGATGCATTGGATTGTATATGTGCTTGCAACACAGCGCTGTTTAGTTCGTCATAGTTCACGGCGACTGTCGGCGGATTCTTTCCCTTGTTCTGCTTCTTTTTTCCCTTCAGATGGCGTTGTGGTGGAATGCTTTCTATGCCCTGCAGCTGTGGTCCCTGGACCGCAGTAAGGCTCACACCACCTTCGACGATAAAGTCTACGTATGTCTCACTCCATTTTCTTGACCATGACTTGTGTTGACATGGGGGCAACATATTTCAATATAAAGCTGGTGAAAAAATCGTGAAACATTGCCCTCCGGTAATATAACATCATAGCTATTGAATAGCACCGTTTTTACAGGTCCAACTCCAACGTTTCCAACCCTACCCTCTGGTTATGACTAACATAACTATGGTTAACATCACCATTTAGTTCGTGATTTTTCCCATGAAAAATGGTGATTTTCCATAGTTATGTTAGTTTACCAGAGGGTAACTATCTCTTCATTAACTTATTATTGATTAATCGGTTTAAATTTTCATCTTTATTTCTCACAACAAGTCTGAGTGAAACATAGAACATCCACTACAAGTAGAGGTTCCTAGCTGGGAATAATCATCTAATATTCTTCTAATCATCCATACATATGGGATTTTCTAGCAAGCCATGTTTGCTGACACCACAAACCAACTTTGTATGAACCATGAACCACCATTAATCACCATTAATCACCATTAATCACCACTAATCACCATTAATCACCATTCATATCCATAAATCATTACTATTGTTTTTCATGTATACTACTGTACATATACCTTAATTCATCCATACTATACTGTGCTTATGGCTCAAGAAACAAGCGTGCACTTGCTGTAGTCTTTAGGCTGTTTCGCCTGTCAAACAGGTTATCAGCCGTAAGCTAATTCTTCCTTGTAGGAATGTCTGCCCCCTCGGGTTCTTCCACCGAGGGCACCGGGCGTGTAGATACCTCTGACGCAGCCATGGCTAACCCGGGGACATTACCTATCAGCAACTCACCTTTCTCATATGACATCAGCACCCCACCAAGCTCCGACAAATCCAGAAGCTTAAGGGATCGACGCCACCTTCCACATTTGAGTAACGCAGTTGTGCCTTCTCATGTGGGATTCAGTCACCGTGGTTTTGTCCCCCAAGCCGCTCGGGAGGGTGGGCCACCGACTCGCCAATTGAACCAGATGAATGTCCATAATACGTTTCAACACAATGTTCATGTTGACAATCCTCAAGTGAATTTTGTCGAGCAGAATTTGCACCTTCATGCACATGATCCTGCTATGACAAGCCTTGTGGAAACAACGGCCGAACTCCGTCATCGTGAAGTATTGGCCCAGGCCGAAGCCCACGCTGAGGCCGTCCACACGGCAAAAACTGAGGAATTGGTGGAAGCATTACGAGTCCGTGAGGGCATTGAAAGTCAGAGGGCCCTAGATGCAATGATGTCCAAAGAACAAGAAGTATTGAGAATGGGAGCACAGTATAGGGAGAACTTACTGCATGAGGCGCACGAACACGTAAGGTTCCGTGAAGCTCAGATGAATGAGAAAATTCAGGCATATCAGCGTGTCATTGATGCTAACCATCGACAATCACTATCAAGTAAGGAGCAAGAGATCCTTGAATTGAGAAGAGCAGCTGAGGAAGAGAGAAGGGTTCAGAATGAACGCATTACACAGCTTGAACACATGGTACAAGCCCAGATGCAACACAATCTGAAACTGCAAAGTATGCTCGATTCCCAATTTGCTCAGGTTCGTCCAAGTCCTATTGTCGAGACTGCCGCCATGACTATGACAGCCGGAACCCATACATCAACGGAGATTCCAAATTTTGAGTTTGTTCCACCAACCCGCAAAGCTGCACCTGCAGCGCCTCCGACGAGTGTTGCCCGACCTCCTATTCCAAGAGCACCGATTAACTTTACTTCACCTGGTACTGAAACTTATGAAAAGGATGGTATTGAGATTATTTATCATGATCCATCATATCGAGTCCCAGTGCAAGTGAAGAAGGAGTCGGATGTTGCAAGGTCTTCCGCTGAGGAACGCCCTTCGGGAGGAGAGGCCAATAATCGACGCCGAGATAACCATCCCATGGATAGTGTCAATTCCCCTGCGCCGACCAATCAATATGCCCCGACCGAACTGGGCCCAGATGAGATGGAGTACTTCGAGCCGGGGGGCGATGATGCGCCTGATGGAAACGATCCAGGGGATGGAGGAGATGGCAACGGAGGGAACGGGGGAGGTGGACCACCATCACCACCTGATCCAATCGATAAACCTGAAGGGGATAAGAACCGTAAGGCACCCAGAAAAACTAGGGCCGGTCCCAATCCTCCTGACGGTGGGGATGACGGTGATGATGATCCCGATGATGATAATGATGAGAAGTTCAGGCGAAGGATGATCAAGTTTCTAGGTGGCTACATTGATCCAAGGCATGATGACAAACCCAAGGTCAAGGAAGCTGACACCATCAAGATCCCGGCATTCCCATTGGCAGAAACCTATCGCAATTGGAGAATTAAGACCAGAGAAGCAGTTGTAGCAGCATCAACCGATCCCGATAGTGCTTTCAAGTGGATTAGTGATTCTTGGAAAGAAGAACAGACCCTTGAAGCGCTCCGGAAGGTTGCGCCGTTTGCGACACTTGATGCAAAGTTACTTTCTGCACTCACCAATATTATCACTGGTGACTTCGCCCGCAAGGTAGATACCTTCAAAGAGACTGAAGCCACCGCTGGACGGATTGTAAGAGGGAGACAAGTGTTGTTCATGTTGCATGACCACTTTAGTACCAACATCAAGCACGGAGCTACTTATGCCCTTCAAGATTTGTTCAGTGTCCAATTGCGTGGGGAGAATTTGAAGTCTTTCATTTCGAACTGGGATCAAGTGTTGGCTGGTATCGTCCAGACTCCTGATGAAAGTGTATTGGAGACACTCTTCTACAAACAAGTGAAGAATTGTAAGGCCATCCAACATGACATGAATGAGTATCATAGAGCTGATGAAGGAACCGAAAAACGGAACTACAGTTTCCTTGTTTCTGCCGTGCGACGCCACCTTGACCGTGAGAGGTTGGAGGCAAATCGTGATCGAGTTGCCAAAGGTCTTTCGGGTTCCGGTCGTCCCTCCGCTCCCGCAGTCGAGGGCAAGACAGGATTCATCCCCAAGGGGTATTGTGTGGCATGGAATAAGGGAGGCTGTAGCAAGGACAACTGTACTTACAAGCATGAAGTCCCCAAGCCACGTGACAGAAGTCGCAAACCCAGCAAAACCAGAGGTCGCTCAAATGAACGTTCTGGTTCTCCCAGACCAAAGGGGAAAGGTAAGAAAATTTGCAAGTTTTGGAAACAGGGACGTTGCGATAGAGGAGCTGATTGCAAATTCCTTCATGAGGGTTCAGTGGGAAAACCAAGACAAGCTACTCCTGCCCGTTCGGCCAGTAGCGAAAACAAAAATAAAAAGAAGAATCCCAAGAACCCGAAAAGGAAGGGATCCCGAAGCTCTAGCCGCTCTAAGAGCCCCAAGAGCCCGAAGTCCCCGAAGTCTAAAGGATCCGGGGCCAGTTCATCTAAGCCGTCTCCTGCCGCAGTTTGTCTTGTTGCATCCATGCTTGCATCCGTGTCTCAGGCATTTTGTATCCCTCAACCAAGAGTATTTTGTCCATCGATTCGTTTTGATGATTCACCGGACGTATCTCATGTTAAAGTCCGAGGGAACTTGAGGCCAATTGGAAACGCAGTCACCAAGGATAAGGTTACCTTTCCATGGGGACATCAGTTTGAAGTTGATCAACTTGCTGTGAATGATGCCGCTTTGACCGGTACCATGTTGGCAGGATCTGTTTCCAATTGTCTTCGGGGAATAGAATGCAAATGTGCCTATTTATGTGACACAGATTTTGGTTGCAATGAATGTATCCCAAAGGGAATCAAAGCCACCCCTGCGGAATGTAGA